TGTCCAGAATGAAATAAAGCACCAATGTGTTCTAACCTTTAAATGTATTAATAAATTATATAAAATATTTTTAAATTAAATTAAATTACATTAAATTAATTCTTTGATTACATTTAACTTGAATGCAATTGGAATAATATAATTATATATATTTGGCAGATTTGTTTTTTATATATCAAGGCAGCTATACACTTTATGCACTGTGAACATTTTTTTTTTTCGAAGTTGTAAATAAAACAGATTATTGGAGAATGTTTTACAGGGAAATATATTTCGGTTCAAAAATTGTTTAAATCAGCATAAAACAGCATGTTTAAATCAATGCGTTACTTGCTGTTTTTGTGTAATTAGTTGTGAAATTTACTATCAATTTCTGAGTGAAAATTATTTCTACACCAAATTTTCAGTGTATGTAATAAATATTTATGAGATGTTAAAAAAACATGTATATATGTTATTTATTACATTGTATATAACGTGAAAAATATAGTGTCACACTATAAAGACAATATATTTTCAAAATTAAATAATTGGCTTTTATTGCACTAAAGCCAAGCCAAAATAGATGATTAAAATATTATCTGGAAATTTTAATTTAATATAAAGGTCAGAGTTTAGTTTTATCATTTTACTTTACAGTTTAGTTTTTTATTCTTTTTTTTTTTTATTTACAGTTTAGATTTTTATATATATATTTTTTATTTTACTGTTTAGTTTTTTGCACACTCTATTTGTACAGTGTTAGGTAACAATTTAAAGCATAAATTATTTAAATTAATGCATTTCAGTTTTCAGACCTGAACTGGAAATAGTTATAAAATTGAAAACCTGACCCAAACTCACCACTTTATATGTACAGTAGGTCCCATTGGGCTCTGGTTTGGTTGCAGATCTCTAATTAGAAAAACACAGATGGAGGATTGACTAACTTCAATTTCTGTGTCAAAAATTCCAGTTGGAGGTCAGAGATTGGTGTTTGTTCCTCATGTATGGTCTGTTTTTCTTTAAAACTTCACTCAATCCAAGTCACGCAGACTGAGTCACGGCAGCAAGGCCTCATGGGCCACTCAGTCTGTGAGACCGCCAGAGCTGCACGCACATTCAGACCGTGCTGTTTTTGCATGCAAACCGCCAAGTGCCGCCATCACTCCATCACCTGGCCTTGCCCTCCAACCTCACTAATTCCAAGCTCTGCCCTCCACCCCCTCACAATAGAGAAAATGTTATACTAGAAAAATATACTATTTTCAGCATCAAATATAGATGGGCTTCCCGTGCATGTTGTGCTCCGCGTAAAGCGTGTTTGTGTCCGTGTGCTTGAGCGTGTGAGCCAGTGGAAGTGGAGCAGTTCGTTTCATTAGCCGTGATGTTCATTCATTCATGAGAGAGCTTTTCAGCCTCCACACCGCAAGACTCGGAGTCACGAAACGAGCTGCACATGCAAACGGGCTTGAATTCAGACACACAATACTTCGGTTCATGACAACTTTCTATTTCTGGCTTTCACTGATATTGTTAGACCAGAGCGCAATCTATCATTTTCGTTGAGTGCTCATGTACCATATGATTAAGAGCATTCATCCATATTATTATCACTTATTAGCTACCACAATTGTAATGTCTTTTCTGAAACAGGAAAAATGCTAAATTATTACAAATGAATTGTATTGATTGTGAAATCATCCAAATCTGAACATTAGCCAACAGTTAATTGACATTTTTAAATAAGTAACCTAAACAATTTTTATATAATATATTTCTAACCCATAAACATACATCATGTATGTAAAATGTTAAAATGTTTTATACGTTTATATTATGCATGCATACCCTTAAAATCTGTCCCATCTCAGCTGAAATGTATTGCATTTAGTTTGTAAATATAATACAATGTTTCAAATCGAACAAATCTTTCAGTAACACATGATTCAATATTTTCAGTTGTTATGAACTCGGTTGTAATAACTGCATGGTTGTAAAAATAAATTACTTTGCAAGTTTGTAATGCTGCTATGCTATACAATGGCACCATCTAAATATTACCTTTAGTAGTGGTGCTCTCCTAAAAATAAAGGTTCTTTATTGGCATTGATGGTTCCATGAAGAACCTTTAACATCCATGAAAACTTTCCATTCCACAAAAGGTTCTTTATAGTGGAAAAAGATTCTTTAGAGTTTTAAAATGTTCTTCACACTAAGAAAAAAATGGTTCTTTTAAGAACTGTTCACTGAAAGGTTCTTTGAGGAACCAAAAATGGTTCTACTATGTCATCACTCCCCCTTTTGGAACCCCCTTTATTTTTAAGAGTGTACATTCGAGTATTGACTTGGCAACCCTAACTCAAATATTAACACGTCCAACTTTCTTCTGCCGACAATCTAAGTTCCAGATGTTGTTTGTCAGTTGTTTGCTTCAAGCTGAGAATTAAAAAGATGAGAAAGTCACGAAGAGAGAATAGGAGAAACAATTTCATCTGTGCCCTGTCTGCGAAGTACGGCTAAATTGTAGAGTCTACGTGAATGTGCCATTTGATTTGATTGCTTATGTAGATAGAGCCGACAGAACGTTCGCTCTGAGCCTGTTCGTGCGGATTTGAGGCAGGAGTAAATCCTGTCTGTGTCTACGGTGCTCAGAGGAAGACAGAAATGCATTACTCATGCACCACCTTATCAGCTAAAAGAGTTTGGCTATTGGTGCGCAATTAGATGTGCCAATCCTTTACTTAAGAAAGAGTAGTGAAACAGCCGCTATGTTGGGTGGGCTCTGACAGACTCAGCATTGCCAGGGTGTTTAAATGTTTTTGTTTGTGCTGTGAACCACCGGGACCTTTCATAAAAATCACATTTGTAACATGTTGTCGAAATGTATAAGTGTTAACATTTACAAGCAACGTACTACAATAATTTAATTTACAACTTAAAAAAATGATTTTACACTGTTTTCACAATCCAATCAAATCCCATTGCAATCAAGCCCTGCCCTGCAATTATTACCCACTGAATATTCTGTATCCTGACTTAGAAATACCTCACATGTAGTTAAATGCATTGCAAATGCTTTTTGTATGTTTGTTATTTGTTTGAAGCTAAAAGTCATTATGTGTCTTTGTGGTTGAAGATACTTTCTGATAACCCAAAGATTGTGAGGTCAAAGCCCGGAAATATTCATCATTACCTATCACTTCTAAAAAAAATCTGTTTATCATAATGTAAAACAATATGTAAAAATGCAAGACAGTAATATAATGACTTGAGCAAGTATTTATGTTAGTCTGATTTATGTAGTGTATGATCTTTAACTGGGCAGTAAGTTGTAGATCCTACAAAGTCGAGGACAGAAATGTGTTTTAGGGCGAGACACTTGGCTGACAAATATTAGCGTGCAGTGATGAAGACACACTGAGTGAATTCGACTGCTGAGAACAACAGATGTCACTGCTGGAGACGTCCTTGAAATGACACAGGGATTACAAAATTGATTTGCTCAGATTTGCCCTATTCAGGGGTGATCCAATTAGTAACACACAATTATTTAAGATGCAACTTGCTGACCTTTGCCCTCTTGCACCTTTGACCCTGCATGTGCATTAGGCACAGTGAGTTTGTGATGTCATTAGCGATACACATATTTTAGAAGAATTAATTTTAAGCTTATATTTAATATGAAATATAATGACTTGAGCAAGTATTTATGTTAGTCTGATTTATGTAGTGTATGATCTTTAACTGGGCAGTAAGTTGTAGATCCTACAAAGTCGAGGACAGAAATGTGTTTTAGGGCGAGACACTTGGCTGACAAATATTAGCGTGCAGTGATGAAGACACACTGAGTGAATTCGACTGCTGAGAACAACAGATGTCACTGCTGGAGACGTCCTTGAAATGACACAGGGATTACAAAATTGATTTGCTCAGATTTGCCCTATTCAGGGGTGATCCAATTAGTAACACACAATTATTTAAGATGCAACTTGCTGACCTTTGACCTCTTGCACCTTTGACCCTGCATGTGCATTAGGCACAGTGAGTTTGTGATGTCATTAGCGATACACATATTTTAGAAGAATTCATTTTAAGCTTATATTTAATATGAAATATTACGTGGTTTGCCACTGTTTCAAAGTTCTACTATCTATCTTTCATCATAATATATCGTTAAATTGTGTAAAAGTAACAAATTGTCAACTTTTGGGATCTAATCCACCTACCTGAGCATTTAAAGATATTATGAATTATTTGCAACCCATTTCATTTCGAAAATGCATCATTTCAAAGTAAAACGGTGTATTCAATGTAAAAAAAACAAACTGTAGGATAGAACTTGATTTTTTCCCAGCAGGAAATTATTTGATGATACAAAGTGGGTGTTTACCATATGGCATTTTCTTTGTAGCAAAAATATATTTAGAATATATGCAAAATGTATTGTGAACAGCATGTAATTTTTGAAATGTAAATTTCATTTAAACCTTCAAATGCCAAAATATAAAAATGTAAGAAAATGCATTCATTTTATGTGAACACAAAATGTATTTTTTACAATATATTTTGGACAATTTAAATACTGACATTGAAAATATATTTAAAAAATTGTCAAAATTATATATGAGGAAATAAGTACATTTGAAAATATTTTTGAAAATATATATATATTTTTCTATATGGCTTAAGTGTGGCTTAGGACACGTCAAAAAAAAAAAATTTGTTTTAGAGACATGTTTCATTTTTGTCTATGATATTATAAAGACAAATGTAAATATGGTCCATTTTGATTTTATGTTGAATTTAAACTCATATATAGCCATAGCTGTTAATGCATGTGTCTTATACTGCCAACACGTGGAATCCATCAAACAAGATTTACCAAACCCATTCACCCTTCTTCTTCCAATCATTTCCATCTTTCCTCTATCCTATTATTACAGGTGTCAACGGGATGCAAAATAAGATTCATTTGATGGAACATGCTTTTTATTGCAGTAAATATACAAAGGCCTGATTAATCACTTGGTTTATTGAAGTGTTACCTGCACAACCTGCCCTCATTTGCATCCTCGGTGCCCTTGCTAGGATGCCATTGCTTTGGCTGCCGGCCGGCATACACTTTGCTTGGCAAAAGTCTGGAGCTCCTCCAGCTCCTCTGTATGGCTGGCAGGCGGGCGGCCCCTGAGAGTCAGGATTGTGTGATAACACTTTGAAATGATAGTTTAGCCCAGGAGAGCACTTGACACGCAATATCTTCCCCGCTTCGATCAACAGGCAAAGCAAGCTCAGAGCAGGGTAAACATCGGCTCAGGGCGTAGACAACTGGCGAGATCCAGAGGAAAGAGCGCTCATCACACGGCGAGATGCAGAAACGCATCCGGTCCACCGCACAATTACCACTCTGTCCATCACGGGTCTGATCACCAGAGGCTTTTCTCACCTGCCGCAGATGCATTTATTCTCCTCTTGGCCTGTCTGTGTATTCAGCCTCGACAGCTGCAAATAGACAACAGGTAATGTATTGACAGTCTTAATAAAGAGTGTTGGCACTGGATATAAATCACGCAGTGCTGCATGTTTATTTGTAGGGGCGACTCTCACCTCTTTGTCATATTAATAGTTATCCAGATGAGACGAAGAAGGTGTCAAAGGAATGACGAAAGGTGTACTCACACTGAGAAAACAACCAATTGTGAGTTTACACTGTTTTCTTCATATCTCATGCACAAGTCGTGCTGTCACTTTCACTAGACAAAGACGGTTAGGCCCAAAATAACTCAACTGATGGGTCACAAGCTGTTTTCTGTTCTGAAATGGGTCATAGACAGCTGGGAAAAACAACGCTATATATAAAATACATGCACTACACTACTGTTCTAAAGTCTATTTATTTTATCAAAAATACAGTAAAAACAGTACTATTGTGAAATATCATTACAGTTTCAAATAACTGTTTTCTAATTGACTATATTTTAAAATGTAATTTATTGCTTTGCAAAGCTGAATTTTCAGCATCATTACTCCAGTCTTCAGTGTCACATGATCCTTCAGAAATCATTCTGATATGCTGATTTGCTGCTAAAAAAACAAAAAAAGCGAGCAACAAATATTTTGTTGCTATTGTCGAAAACTGTGAGTCCAATTAAACTCTAGTTTTAAATTAACCTGTCAGATGGTTGTAACCTGTACAGTAGAAACTAAGTTTAGTCAATTAATGCAGATGCTGTGTGACATACCTTCGTTCTCCAAAACCGTGAACAAAACTATCCAAATTAAAAATACAAGAAAATACAACCCTGACTACATGAAGCACTGGTTCACTTGCATTGAGGATAAACATAGTTTGAAATTTAAATTTTGTGCAATAAACAATTGTGGAATTGTATTGGAGTATTGGATTTGAGTTGAGAATCTAGTTAGAATGGTAAAATGTTTATAGCTAGCTAGCTGAACAATAACAATCCAGCTTAACGCAAACTCTATCGCCGCCTACAGGACTGAGAGAATGCGCATTAAGTATGCACAACATCACTGTGCACTCGCACTGGCAATATGCATGCATAGTCATGCAAGCAAAAGTTTGGCCATTGACGTATTCTAGACAATAACCATTCATATATCTATGAAAATGCTGACTAATTGACATATGAAACCATTAAAGGTGGGGTAAGCGATTTCTGGTAGCCAATGTTGACATTTGAAATCACCAAAACAAACACGCCCCTACCCCAAAAGGGTCTCGCCCCTATTTTGATAGCTCCACCCCACACATACGTACGCAACCCAGGCAACGATTAGTTCTGTGAAACAAAGCAAAACCAATGTTACACCGTGTCTACACCGGACGCGAGTGGCGCGGTGCGACAAAATACTATAGAACTCATTATAATCAGTGATGCTGTCTACACCATAGATTTATATACATATCTATGGTCTACACTGGATGCGGCACGGCACGACACGACAAATCCCCGACAGAAAACTGCTGCTACGTTCTATTTATGACGAATTGCACAAATTTCAAATGATTTTCAACGGTCGCTTTGTCACGTTCAGTGTACTAGACAGACTAGCTGTTGCAGCGCAGACACGGTGTTACTCACCTATCGAGAAGAAACAAAGCAACCTCAGCGTCCGATCGCAGGCCTTCCGTTCCTTGAGTTCTCTCCAGCGCTGGAAAGCTGATCCGATATTTTCACGGGTCCTACTTCTTGCCTTATTGCCTTAAACCTTCTTTTGTTCCGCAGACGTTTTCCTCTTTTGTTTTTTATCTGCCATCTCTATCTTTCTGTCGCTCGGCTCGGCTAATGTCCGTCCCGTGCACTGAACGCTCTCTCCTCCACATCATGAGTAGACACGTCCCTTACTGCTGATTGGCTACAAGTTTGTTTTGCTATTTGGCCCGAATCAGTTTTCTAAAGCGTTTTTTTTTTAAAAAGCTTACCCCACCTTTAATTGCTTGTTTTTATGTTACTTTTAGGGGTGGGTGATGGTGTGCAGATGTTTCGCTTGCAACTATTTGCTTCAAAATAAATTCTTAAATATTCTAAAATATTCATTATAATCAATGCCTCAAGCCTCGTCAAATCCAGCTACTAGTTCATAATCACTTGACCAGCAGTAATGCTGAACAGACCACTGTTTCTTTCAGCAAACAAATATATGTTGTATAATAGGTCTGTCAGAAGACAGAACAGAAAAATATATATATATATATTTAATGTTAAGTATACTATACATACTTATAGTAGGAACACATATACATTATTAAATAAGTACTACTTCGAGCACTGTTCCAGACTAATGTTGTGCAGCACTCTTTAAACTTTGAGTGTGAATTTTCCCAGATGTTTTATTCGAGAAGGGTCTGTCTGAGACTTCATTCGACCTTCACAGCACAGAAACATCCACGGCAGTGGTGAGGGTGGACTGAAAGTGCTTGACAGCTTACATTTACGGAGATCACCGCAACCTTGGCTGTGTGCAGTCATCACACCAAGGACTTTACTGCTCCAGAATCCATAAAAATTATAGAAAGCCAGAATGTTTTAAAGGGGTCATATGATGCGATTTCATTGTAAAAATCGACGCGTTTCAGAAAGGCGGGGCATAGAGGAGAAACAATAATGTACAGTATGTGGAAAATAATGTGGATTTAATTTTTTTTCTGTTTCTATCTCACAATTCTGACTTTTTCCACTCAATTGCGACATTACATCTCATAATTTAGACTTTTCTTCTCAGAATTGTGAGTTAACATCTCACAATTCTTTTTTTGTTGTTCGAAATTGTGAGTTTATAGCTTGCAATTCTGAGAAAAAAGACAGAATTGTGAGATATAAAATCAGAATTGCAAGAAAAAATAAATGTGATATAAGTCCCAATTGACCCTTCGTCGGGAGTTTGATTGACAGGTGATCTGACCAATCATTACGCCGAATCTGCCATTTTGTCCGACAAACAAATCAGACAGGAGAGTAGATTAACGTTGGTGGACTTGAACTTGAAAAATGGTGTGTATTGACGTCTTTCCACAGTTGAAACAAGATATCTTCTGATGTTCATGTTTATTTTGTGCTATAACTAGTAAAGAGGAAGAGATGATCGGTTCATGTGCCGCTTTCTACAGCGATCTGACATGACACATTAAAGAGCCACAAACCTGCTCTGTCTTGTCTGTCGGCGTGTTGTCAGTGTCCTCTTTGCTCCGCAATGTATTTTTCACTGCGTGAGAACATGATGTGTGGTGTGAGAGTGCCATTGTTTGTAGGACATAGCAACAGTAACTAAGGGGGGCGGGTCTTTGCGAAGGGTCAGTTACCTCTTTTTTAGTTTTTTATCTCACGGCAGACACAAGTTTCCATACTTTTATGCATTCCAGCACAGTTCAACCAGTGGTGTGAGTTTGGGGCGGGGCTATCTGTTTTCCTGACCAATAGTAGATGGTCCATTTGAAAACAGTGATAATTTTTACATTACACAGAATTACACGTTTCTTTTAGAAAAGTTCAGCTAGGAAACCCATTATTTTGAAAAGTCTAGCCAATAACAGTTATGTCGACACGTCCGACAGCTTATTAGCACCATAACAATGATTTGGAGTATATCTGAGGCGGATTTGCCATAATTAGATTGTCTCTCTCTCGCCCTCCTGCTGCACTCTTTCATTTGAGTGAAAGATACACAATTTCACTTGTTCCTCTTCAGCCCGTAAATACGTTATTAATGAGAGGATAATTTTTTATGGCGTGTCATGATAGCAATAAATTACAGAATATTTGCCAGAATTAGTTACTGCCAGGAACGCTAGCGGCCAGATGGCTGGTATTTCCAAATAAGAAAAGGGAAATTAAATAAATAAGGATGGAGATGAAACAACAAGACATGCTGCAAGGACACAAAACCTGCCTTTTTTTAATCAGTGAGTATTTTTAGCCTGTTTTACATTATTGTGTTTGTCAGTTAACAACACTTAGCAGTAATGGTGTCACGTGCTAACCTGTGATAACATTTACTCTCACTTCTCAATAATTAACAGTTCTTGATATCTGTCCCTCTGGAGCATTTGCACATTATAGCTAACAGCATTTTAATTATCCTTCATTAAAATATACGACAGTTTGAAAACCCGACATGTTCTCATTGGTATTCATATAGGTATTTAGCACACATACATTTTAGCACAATTGGATAGGCACTGAACTATATGATGTTACACAGTTTAAAATGTAAATGTGAACGAATGGGATTGCATCTGAGGTTTGAATGCCAAGAGTCAAGTAAATCCAGTTCAGACCATTTTCTGAGGATTCGTTAAGTATGTACCTACTGCATGTAAACAGATTTACATTTCAGATACTGTTAAAACATTGATCTTGTACATTTCATTGTACAAAATGTACGTGTATACTTTATGATTTTGCAGAGTTTATCTTTGGTTAGCTTTGGATGCTAGTAGGGACAAAATTATGAATATATCTAATTAATTATAGTGCTGTTTAAATTAAGTTTGTGTGAATCATTGTTGCTATTGTTAACTGAAATAAAATAAAAATATTAAAATGTATTTGGTAATTGAAATAAAATATAAATATTAGATGAAATACTAAAAATTAAAAAATTAACAAAAACTAAAAATGTTTCCTTTCCAAATAACTGAAGTAAATACAAAAATTACTAAAACTAAAACTAAGATAAAATAAAGTTAAGTAGAATAACAAATGTAAAATTACTAAAACTAAAATTAAAATGAAAACTGAGAATATTACAAGATAATATATATATATATATATATATATATATATATGTGTGTGTGTGTG